GGAATCGAACCTGGGACCCCCCCAAACCCGCAGGCCGACGCTCCATCCACTGAGCCAAACTAGTCAGGGCTCACTGTGTTTTCTTTCTGGCACATGGAAGGATTGCATTTCTCGGTCTTTTTGAAGTTAGGTGTTCAAGCTTTTCCTTTAATCAGGAAAGGTTTCAGGAGTCCCAGGCATTTCCAGGTGGAAGCATTTGGGAAGCAATGTATGCTTCTGCAGGTTCTCCCCCTAACCATGATTGGTGGGTTAGGAGGAAAGCATCCTGACATGCAAAGGCAATGTGGCAGGCAGGTCTCCGGAGCCGAGGCAGAATCTGCAGAATCTGTGTAGATGAGAGAGAAAGCCTCCAAGAGTGTGGTTTGTTATTAAGCACTTACTGTGGACCAGGCACTGTGCTGAGCGAGCGAGCACTTCCTGTGTGAACTGCATAGCACCCTGTCTGGCCCTAACAAGCTCTCACTGGTAATTAGTGGTAATTGTTATTCCAATTGTGTCTTAGACGTGTATGTATTCGCTCAAATGGGTCCTGTGCTCTAGACTAAGGTCCAGAATGGATGTCACAAGGCGGGTGAGTATCTTGCTTGGTTTTTTTTTTTTTTTTTTTCTCAAAAACATCTGAAAGTTTTCCTAGTTTGTGGGCAGTTGGACGGGAAATGCAGGTTCCAGGGCCAGAGACAGCATGGCATAGAGCAGGGGTGGGGAATCTTTCTTCAGCCCAGGGCCACATGGATGCTCATAACACCCTCCACAGGCCACACAGAGTTACCACACAGCTTAAAACTCAGCCTGCTGTGAATGGTCAAACACCTAACCAACTCACCCCTAATGCCTGGGCAGGCCGGACCAAAGGATTCCTGGGTCTGACACGGCCGAGGGCAGGATGTCCCCCACCCTGGTCTAGAGGAAAGAGACGTGGAAGCCAAGATCAGTTTAGTTCCACACACATTTATTGAGCACCTTCTGCATGTACCAGGCGCCAGAGAAACGGAAAAGTGTGCGAGGGGACCCCTGCCCTCTAGGAGCTTAATTCCCACACGGGGGGATCAACAAAGACACAAAGCACGACACATGCAGCGATGAGAGAACAAACAGGAAACGGGAGTGCCACGAGGCCGGTTCCGGCCCTGCCCCTAGCTGTGTGACCCTGGACGTGTCACTCAACCTCTCTGGGCCTCACGGATAGTAAGAATGGGTTCGTACATTTCTAACCCCTGGAATTCTAACATCTAAGGTTCTCAAAACCCTGTTGGGTAGGCAGGGCGGGTATGGTTCTAGTTGACAGGGGTGAAGCCGGGGGTCAGGTTCCGCACAGCGGCCTGAACTCCACCGCTGCTTGTGGGGAAGAGCTGGCCCCCGCCCGGGCCAGGGCAGGTCCTGGGAGCCAGGCCCAGTGAGCGTCCCCTCCCCGCCGCCTTCGCGGGGAGGCTGGATCTCGGAGGGGGAGCCTTCCTGGATGCCCGCTTCAATCTCCTCTCCGAGCCTGGAGCCGGCTACAGAGCAGGAAGGGGAGAGAGGCAGTTTACTCCCTCCCCACCTTTCGCAGGCAGCAGGCAGCGGCCATTTCTGGAAACCGGGTCTCGGCTGTCAGTCAGAAGCAGGGATGTTAAGGCTGTATATCCCAGGGGCCACAGGAACCTCCAGCAGCCACCCCCTCCCGATGGTCACTCCGAGCCTGGTCCCGCCAAGGGCGTTTTGGAGACCGAGGCAGCCCTCCCTCAGGGCCCCTGTACTTCCGGCCACCCCCACCCAGCCCAGAAGCGTGTGCAGGAGCATATTTAACTGAAGCAGAACAAACCCGAGAGTCCCTCTCTGCTGTGCCTCTATCCACGCCCACCGAGGCCAGACAGAGTCTGATGATGGCCCGCTCTCTGCCGTGGAGACGGCTGATGCCGTGTGCACTTGTCGTGTGCAGCCTTCTCTGAGCGCGTGTCTGTACGTCAGGAGGCCAGGACACGCAGAGCCCGCTCCCCAGGGGGTTCTGAGGTGCAGGGGCGGTCGGGTGACAGGAAGACACGTCAGGGAGGCAGGGTGGCAGGCGCCTGTGAGAGGCTGTGTTAAGAGCTGGAGGTGCGGGGAGAGGGCGAGTCGCTCCGGGCTGGGCTGTCCTGGCTGGGAGGCCCGAGGGGAGGCTGGCGCTGGGCCCTGGGGGAGAGACGGAGTCGTTACTGGCAACCCCTGCTCTGCAGGCTGCACATCTTCCCCGGGCGCCCCTTCTCCATCGCGGTCTCACAGGGACACCCCCTCCCTCCTCGGAGCCGGCTGGCTGGGTGGGACGCTCATGCCAGACAAGTGTCCCCCCAAGAGCCCTGTGGGGACGGTCTGGGTTCAAACCCTGCCCCCCACCCCCCGAGCTGTGCACATGAGCACGTCCTTCACCTCCCAGCCGGCTCCTCGGGCGGATGGTGCCGACCTTGCAGGGTGAGGATGCACTCAGCGAACACTAGTAACTCGTTAGCACAGCACCCAACGCTCCCACCCCAGTGTGTCCTCCTCAAAAAGCCCTCCCCGTCACCCCCATCTTCACAAGGGCCGTCGGTCTGCGTGCTCCAGCCTTCCCCAGGCGCCCTGCCGGCTCCAAGGGACTGACTGGGCTTTGGGTTCAAATGGGCCAAGGAAGGAGGGGCTGCGAGCTAAGCTTACTCGGTGCTGCCCCCCTGTGGCCGCCGGGAGCACAGCACCCGGCTCCGCAGCCCAGCAAACCCAGTGGGCTCTGCCCACGAGGAAGGGGGGCTGCTGGGCTGGTGGTCTGTATTTCTGAAGATAGGCCAGGCCAGTTTTGTTTGTTTGTTTGTTTGTTTGAATATATTTTATTGTTTTTACACTTAGCAAGAGAGAGGGATAGTTAGAAACATCGATGGGAGAGAAACATCAGCTGCCTCTTGCACACCTGCTACTGAGGATGTGCCCACAACCAAGGTACATGCCCTTGACCGGAATCGAACCCGGGACCTTTCAGTCCGCAGGTTGACACTCTATCCAAAAAGCCAAACTGGTTTCGGCTAGTGTTTTGTTTCTGCCTGTGTGCTCTCCCCCACCCCCGCCACCCCCGAAGGAACCAGATAGGAAAACTGGTGACCGGGAGTCAGGGCTCCTTTCGCTGAACTGATGGGAACTGTCCTGTGGTCCCGACAAACCCGAGGTCAGGAGAGGCCTGTCACCAGCTGGAGCAGGCCTTGCCGAGTCCAATCGCAAGGGTTCACCGCCCCTGTCACACGGCCTCCTCCCCGCCCTCCTGCTGCTGTTCCTCCGCCAGGGCACTCAGCCCCTGCTCCGCCCTCCGGGCCAGGCCGGCCAGGTATAGCTCTGTCCCTGTGGCGCACTGCCTGCCTCCGGGCGTTTCTGTGAGAATTAAATGCAGTGCCGCGTGGAAAGCAAGCCACTAGGCTTTTTTTGGGGGAAGGGACTTTTTTTAATTGACTAAGGTACTATAAGTGTTTATCTCCCCATTGCCCCCCCCAATCCCGCCCTCACCCTCACCCCCTGTTGTCTGTGTCCATTGGTTATGCTCACATGCATGCACACAAGTCTCTTGGTTGATCTCTCCGCTCTAGGCTTGTGAGCCTGGCTGTCTCTGAGGGGAGGACACTGAGACCCGGACCTGAGGCCGACTGAGCACAGGTGAGAGGACACCCTGCCCCCCAGCAGGAGCAGCTGGCCGGTCCTCAGCCTGCAGCCCCTCAACACTCCCTGCAGGTGCCGGGAGGGGTGGCTTCCTGCCACCCCACAGGCCCACCCCCACCCTGAATCCCCCTAACCTCATGATTGTACACCCAGGCCCCTCAGGCTCCCCAATAATGACAAGATGCAGACCCCCAGAATACCCATGTTTTACTAGAAATCTAGAAAGCACGTAAGAGGCCACCAGAACCAGGCTGCAGTGCTGCCTGAAACCCCGCAGTGAGGGCCGGGCGGAGCGGGCTGGACCTGGTTCCTGAGCTATTTCCTGAAAATGGGCCAGGACCCAGTTCACACAGCAGCTCCCAGGCAGACCGCCCACGTGACGTGCCCAGGGCACCCAGCGGAGGATGGGCAGCCTGGGCCCCACGGCCAGCTGCTCTGCCCTGGGGGAGGGGGGTGTGGATAGGGTGGGGGGCACTGGTGGACCTGCCACCTCCCTCTGGTCCCCTCACCCCCGCCCCAGGCAGACCAAAGGCCCGGGGAAGGAGCCTAAGCCCTGCACAAACTCCTAGCAGGCCCAACACAAACATCATCTCGAGCCCGTGGCCAATCCTCCCCTGAGGCAGCATAAACCCTCCCTGGGCTGCGTTCCAGAACATTCTGGAACTTTCCAAGCCGTTTCCTCTGCTCCCAGTGTGCTCCCTGGGGGAGAAAGCTGTTGATCCCCGTGCCTGGCGTGGCGTCTGGCGCGTGGTGGGTGTGAATAAGGCTCCTCGCAGCTGAATGGTCGTGAGGAGCTGGAGGAGCTCGGGGCTGCACAGGTGAGCGGTGCCCTGAGGCCCCCCTGGTTCTGCCCTCGGGTCCCGCCCTGCCACCTGCCCAGCCAGGTCCAGTGGGCTTGGCGGGGCCCCTCCCACGACACCCAGAGCCGCGCCCTCTGCCCTCCCCGGGCCTGGAGCAAACGGCAGCGACTCCTCTGGATGCCGTCATCTCTTCATTCCACCAGAGACGCCACAGCGGGGCCTGCCAGGCAGCGCCAGACCAGGCAAGGAGGGCGGGTGTGCGGACCCAGGCCAGGGAAGCCCGGCCTCCCAGCCTCCCCGAGAAATGATGTGGGGGGGGGGGGGGGAGGGAGGAACGACAGGGATGCTGTGTGTGCAACAGCGAGGCCAGGGCCAGGGCGGCAGGAGGAAGGAAGGTTCCAGAATGGGGCAGGGTGGGAAGGGGAGTTGGGGGGGAGGGGAGGCAGCTTGCTGGGTGCTGTGCTTGTGTTGAGCGCATGGGATTCAGCTGCTGAGCCACAGGACTGCCCGGGGCCAAGGAGACAGGCCCCCAGGCCTGGGAGGAGCCTGGGGCGGCGGGCGGCAGCCTGACCCACCTCACGTGTAGGCCGTCTTGCTGCACACCCAGGGCCGGGTCATCAGGCACTCCGTCGACACCAGCCTGGTGGGCTCCACGAAGACGCACTCGCCCAGCCCCGCGATGGCGAACCTGTGGCCGGGAGAGAGACGGCGCTCAGCCTGTGGTGCCCGCCCGCCTCCGACCACCTCCCCGGACAGCCAGCCCCCGGCCTCCGAACGGGCTTCCCACTGCTCTGGGCACCGGGCTCCGACCCCCTCCACACCCCTCCCCACACACACACACAGACGCCCCTCTGCCCCCAGCCCCGCTCCCGAGCAGGGGTCCCTGGCAGTGTCCACGCAGAGGAGCGGGGGAGAGAGGATGGACTGAAAGGGCTCAGGCTAGGGGGGACCCCGATCCCACCCATGCTCCACACCGGGGCTGCTGCCCAGGAACCGGACGTCACTCAGGGCCTGAGCGGAGGGCTCTCCTCGCCTGAAATCAGCCCGTCAGAGTCCAAGGTCTCTTCACCCCACTCTGAGCCCCTGCCCAGCCTGGAGCTGGGGTCCCACAGGCGTCGGCGTCAGAGTGACCCCGAGAGGGAGCGTGGAGGCAGGACCCCCTCGGTGTCAGGGAAACGGCCCATGGCTGCCAGGTGGTCGCATGTGGGGACCCATCCCAGGGCTCTCCCTGCCTCTGGGAGCAGGGAGCTTCCCGAAGGGGCTAAGGGGACAGAAAGTGGAGGACGTCCCAGCAGCGCTAAGAGCTGATCTGCGACGGGGCGGGAAAAGGGAGAGGTGAGGAGAGGCAGGCGCAGCGACGGAGAGGGGACGGGAGGAGCTGGTAACCGGCTACTTGCCGCTGGGACGGAGGGAGCCTCCCTCGGCCTCCATGGGAAGGGGGCTGGGTCCCCACCTCCTCGTGGCCTGTTCCTCCAGCCATAAGGTCTGGACTGAAGGCCGGGGGTCATTCCCTGCCCTTGTCTAACCAAGACCGCCCCCCACCTCACTGCCCCAACGTACACCCACCACCTGTGACCATTGCCCCGTCCCCCACACACCGGGGCCTGGACCCCCCCCCCCACTCACTCACTCCCACACGTGGTCTCACAGATCACACGCCACGCACACCCAGCGGGCTCTCTCCCGCTCACAGTGCCTGCAGGGTCAGCATTGGGTGATGTGTGGCTGCCCCTCTCCCCCTCCCTGTGGCCAGGTGTGTGTCACACAGAGGGACCTCCAGGCACAGACTCCCTCCCCCTCCCCTGGGCTGAGCCATGCAGACAGCTCTGACAGACAAGGGGGCCCAGGAGGCTCGCTGGAGCAGAGCCAGCTCCCCAGGCCCGTGGTGGGCAAACTGCGGCTCTTTGGCCCCTTGAGTGTTCTAACGCCACTTCTTCCAAATAGATTGGCCAACTGAAAACCGACTTCTGCCACGAAGTGTCAATGGCACTGTCCGTGCACGCCCGCACGTGGTCTTTTGTGGAAGAGCCACATGCAAGGGGCCGAAGAGCCGCAGGTGGCTCGAGAGCCGCGGTTTGCCAGGCACGGCCCCACGTAACCTCACGGGCAGGGAACAAAGGAGAGCGATGTGGTGAGGGGCCGTCACACGGCGGAGCCCGGGGAGCGCTCCCAGCACCGCTCCGGGGCCTGGAGGTGGGGTGTGAGCCCCCCCCCCCCGGGCTAAGCTGGGGCGGAGGGCGGAGACGAAGCCTCAGCTCACGCGTCGGGGTCAAAGGGCTCCCCGTTGACCCAGTGGAACTCGTCCCCGACTCTGCGAAGGCCGATCCAGGGCTCCCTCCGCGTGAACTTGAACATAAATTCCTGCAGCGAGCAGAGAGGAAGGCTCCGTCAGACTGGTCTCCTGCCTGCTTAGGGCCCCCAAGATCTACAGACACCGAGAGGGGCGCCTCGCTGCACGTCGGGTGAGGCCCAGGGTCAGAGTGCCCTGCGCGCACCCCGACCGCCCAGCACCGCGCAGCGGCCCCTCGGGGGCCCGGCTCTGGGCCTGCCCGGAACCCTGGCACACGGTCGGTGCCCTGGCTCAGCAGCCCATGCCAGCTCCCCGACACACAGGAAGCCTGGGCTTGCCCACTGGGTAGGCACCTGGGACAACCCTCAGCGCTCAGGACGGCTGTCCCTCTACCTACACCTCTGGCCTCTCTGAAGAAGGGCTCTTATCCTGAGCACCAGAGACAGACAGGGATTGTCAGGTTCTCTGCCTTTCTCACCCCCACACCCCTGCACCCAACTGCCACACAGCCACCACCGCACCCACACCCACACCCCTGCACCCACACCCCTGCACCCAACTGCCACACAGCCACCACCGCACCCACACCCCACACCCCTGCACCCACACCCCTGCACCCAACTGCCACACAGCCACCACCGCACCCACATCCCACACCCCTGCACCCACACCCCTGCACCCAACTGCCACACAGCCACCACCGCACCCACACCCCACACCCCTGCACCCAACTGCCACACAGCCACCACTGCACCCACATCCCACACCCCTGCACCCAACTGCCACACAGCCACCACCGCACCCACATCCCACACCCCTGCACCCACACCCCTGCACCCAACTGCCACACAGCCACCACCGCACCCACACCCCACACCCCTGCACCCAACTGCCTCACAGCCACCACCGCACCCACACCCCACACCCCTGCACCCAACTGCCTCACAGCCACCACCGCACCCACACCCCACACCCCTGCACCCAACTGCCACACAGCCACCACTGCACCCACATCCCCACACCCCTGCACCCAACTGCCACACAGCCACCACCGCACCCACATCCCACACCCCTGCACCCACACCCCTGCACCCAACTGCCACACAGCCACCACCGCACCCACACCCCACACCCCTGCACCCAACTGCCTCACAGCCACCACCGCACCCACACCCCACACCCCTGCACCCAACTGCCACACAGCCACCACTGCACCCACATCCCACACCCCACACCCCTGCACCCACCTGCCACACAGCCACCACCGCACCCACACCCCACACCCCTGCACCCACACCCCTGCACCCACCTGCCACACAGCCACCACCGCACCCACACCCCACACCCCTGCACCCAACTGCCACACAGCCACCACCGCACCCACACCCCACACCCCTGCACCCACCTGCCACACAGCCACCACTGCACCCACACCCCACACCCCTGCACCCACACCCCTGCACCCACCTGCCACACAGCCAACAGACACCATTTCTCCCCCGTGTCTGTGGACAAAACCACTTTGGAGGTGACACAAGAGCTCCTGTCCCAGTTGGACTAGGACAGTGATTGGCAAACTGTAGCTCGAGAGCCACATGTGGCTCTTTGGCCCCTTGAGTGTGGATCTTCCACAAAATACCACATGCAGGTGCGCATATATGGTGCAATTGAAACAGAAGTCGGTTTTCGGCCTGGGTGAGTCTATTTTGAAGAAGTGGCATTAGAAGTTTTAAAAATTTGGCTCTCGCGAAACCGGTTTGGCTCAGTGGTAGAGCGTCGGTCTTCGGACTGAAAGGTCCCAGGTTCGATTCCAATCAGGGACATGTACGTTGGTTGCGGGCACATCCCCAGTGGGGGGTGTGCAAGAGGCAGCTGGACAATGTTTCTCTCTCATCGACGTTTCTAGCTCTCTATCTCTCTCCCTTCCTCTCTGTAAAAAATCAATAAAATATATTTTTTTAAAAAAATTTGGCTCTCAAATTTCAGCCGAAACCAGTTTGGCTCAGTGGATAGAGCGTCAGTCTGCAGGCTGAAGGGTCCCAGGTTCGATTCCGGTCAAGGGCATGTACCTTGGTTGCAGGCACATTGCCAGTAGGGGGTGTGCAGGAGGCAGCTGATCAATGTTTCTCTCTCATCAATGTTTCTAGCTCTCTATCCCTCTCCCTTCCTCTCTGTGAAAAATCAATAAAATATGTTTTTAAAAAATAAATTTCAATCGTTACTGTGGATATTTGGCTCTGTTGACTAATGAGTTTGCCGACCACTAGGCTAGGAGATGGATGTGATTTCTCAGGTGCACTGGTCGCTGTAATGCTCACGTTACAATACCGAGCTGAGCACAGCGACCCAGCCTGTGGTGACACAGCTGGCCCTGGCCAGAGCAGTGGACTCGCCCCCTGGGCCTGCAGACCCTGAGGGGCCGGGGGACACCGAGCCCCGGGGCGGGTCTCCGAGGGCCCGCCCAGCACTCACCAGCTCCTTGGGGCTCTGAATCACGGCCAGCGCCGCCTCGTGGGTGTGGCAGTACTGCCGGCCCGTGTTCCAGTCCCTCGGCTCCTCGGAGAAGAAGTAGCACTTCCTGCCGTAGAGCAGCCAGTCCTCCGGGCAGGGCGCCTCACACTTGATGCAGCCCTTGGATGCTGCGGGGAGAGGGGGGTCAGCATTTCAGCAAGAACCCACGCTGCCCCCGGGCTCCCTCACCGGCACCTCACAGGGCCGGGCAGGGAGAGGTGGGTGGCTAAGGGCAGCAGGAAGAGGAATCCGGGAGGTTTGAGGGACACGGGGGGTGAGCGGGAGGGACATGACAGGTTAGATCCTGGGTTAAGACCTCCACTCTCTCCTCTCTCTTCAAGGCATGGAACCCTGGGAACTCAGGTTCGGAACGGACTTGGAGGCCACGGGATGTGTCCTCTCTCCAGCCTGGGTGACACCCCCAGGCCCGGGGGGCCCTGGCCAGGCCCCATTGGCTCACAAGGCAGCCCTTCCACCACTCATGGCTGGAAGCTCTGAGTCCCAGCCTGCCCTCCTGGGACCTAGACCTGCTGGCTCGGGGTCCACCCCGGGGTGACCCAGGGCAAAGCCCACTTGAAGGACAGCATCCTCCCTCTCAGACACGGCCTCTCCCCCAGGCCCTCTCTGTCCGGCCTGGCTCACCACAGGTGCCTGCATCACCACCACGCTGCCACCCAGCAGAAAGGAGCCCCGATGGGCCCGTCCCCAGCAACAGCCGCCACCGCGCGGCCTTCCCGCTGCCGTGGCCCGGCCTGCAGGCCGCCGCAGAGCGGAGCCGGGCTGTGCGCACACGCGGCCTCCACCAGGCTCTCCCAGGACCTCCCTGCCGACAGGAGCTAAGCCCTGCTCTGATCGTGTTCCCGTGCTCTCTCTCCGAGTCAGGCCTCCCCAGGCCAGAACACATGTAAATCGATTTCAAGCCCCTATGAAGGGCCTCATGTTTATTTCCCCCACGTTTCTCTCGCTCGGCTTGGCTCCTCTGAGTTTTTAAAGACTCACGTTAATCTTTATTTTTTTCCTCGCCTGTCATATTAAACACCCCTCTTTGGATTGTACCACCTACACATTCTGTAAGCACACGTTTTGTTTGTTTTCATACAAGTGATTGATCTGATGGAGACCAGACAGAGCCGAGAGGCCGATGGCGCCCCAGCCCACGGGGACCCCAGCCACGGACACGGCTAACCAGCCGCACGGCACACCCGCCCGGGCGCCGCGGGGCTGCCTTCCGCTGCTTTCCCCCGGGGTCTGTGAGGAGACATGACTGAAGTCACAGCGTGCCGCCTTACACGTCTCCCGGCCTCCCGAAAGACAGAGGCACCGATTTAACTCGCAGTCTCTGTCCTAGGGCAGTGGTCTGCAAACTGCAGCTCAAGAGCCGCAGTTTGCCGCTCTGTTGACGAATGCATTTGCCAACCACATGCGTAAGGCATTACCCTTACCCAGAAGTTTTGACTTCAGGTTAAAGACCTTAGTACATTATTAAAACGTGTTTGTTGTTTTTTTAAGTGTTTGTCCCTAAGGCAGTGGTTGGCAAACTCATTTGTCAACAGAGCGGCAAACTGAGCCACGTGAGGCTCACAAGCCGCAGTTTGCCGACCACTGTTCTGGGAGAACCCCAGCGGCCGCCAGGGTCGCCCGGTTCTTCTCTAAACACAAACTGTCCGCTTATCACGCACCCCCGCAGGCAAGGGTTTGGAAAGGACCGGTGTCATCAGTGGATTTTCCCCCCATTTGGAGGTTTGATGGGCGCCTCAAAGATTAACGACAAACCACTTTGCAACCCCTTCAGGTCCCACGTTGCCTTGACTCCATTAAAAGCAGCCACGTTCCCTGGTGGTGTCCGTAGGGACAGTGCCTGTCATCTTCCTCCCTCCCCTTTCAGCCCACGGAGCCTCCCGTGGCTCAGGCCCCGCCCTGCGGGCTGTTCTGCTCCCTCTCCTCCGGGAGGGAGGCCCTCATTCATTCCCCGGGACCTGGCACCCGTGACGCCCCCTGTGGGAAGCCCCCGCCCTCCAGGGCAGGAGCACCCCTGTGTTTGCACAGGGAGATAACAAACATCTTTATCACTAGTTCTTCTCCCAGGGCCGACCACACAGCAGGCTCTACACATGTCAATGAATGAATGAATGAATGAATGAATGAATGAATGAATGAAGAATGTGATCTTGAAAGGCCCTTGTCCCAAACTCATCTCTCCAAGAAGCACTGCCCGCTTCACCCCCTGGAGTTTGCTGAGTCCTCACGGCACACGCTCTCCCCGCTCGGCTTAGGAAAGGGGAGCTGTGCAGCCGATGTGTGAAAAGGGTATTTTAAGCTGAAATCACCTCCGGAACGAACACTCGGTTTGCCATTTACTCTGCCCCCATGGAACTCACGATGCGCCCGGAGCTTTCCTGACCTACTTAGACACGCTCCTAGGAGGTGGCACGCTGCACCGCATAAATGCCCCGACGCCCATGCTCACCCAAGATGCTCATCACCACCAGGATGGCGAACAGGAGGACGGCGATGGCCCCGAGCAGGAGACGGGTGGTGGTGTCTGAGGAGAAGAAAAAGGGTTCAATTCCAGGCCACCCACTCGCCACCCATCGCCACGGCCAGCCCCACGTCCCCGGAGGGGGCCAGCCATCTGGGTGTAACAAGCGCTCCGGTGACTCTGACCGCACTCAGGCCCGAGAGGCGCTGTCCCCGAGCACAGTCCTGACCCCACGGTCCTGACCACAGTCCCCTGCGTGACCGCCCTCCCTCCGGGGCTACACCTGACCTCCTCCTGTGGCCTGCAGAGCTTTTTTAAAAACAAACAATGCATTTTTATTGATTTCAGAGAGGAAGGGAGAGGGAAATGGAGGGATAGAAACATTAATGATGACCGAATCATCAACTGGCTGCCTCCAGCTCACCCCCGACTGAGGATAGAGCCCGCAACCTGAGCATGTGCCCTAACTGGATATCAAACTATGACCTTCTGCTTCATAGGTCAAGAGAGCTTTATAATCTTTTATTTCTTGCTGTTTCTCTATGTCCCAGTTCAGCCACACAGACTCACGGAAATAGCCCAGCCCAGCCTCCTGCCCTGCGGCTGGGTCTTTGCTCACAAAGGTCTGCTCCCCCAAGGCTGGGTCTTGAAATCTGCCCACGTCTATACCCTCCACCTCTTTTTCTAAAAAAAAAAAAATTATATATATATATATATATATATATATATATATATATATATATATATATGTTTTTATTGATTCCAGGGAAAGGAAGGAATAGAAACATCAGTGGTATGGAAGGGGAGTGGACTGACGATTCTCGGGGAAAAGGGGAGTGGGGGGTGCGGGAAGAGCCTGAACATAAACTGTGCATCTATGGATGAGGACAATGGGGGGTAGGGAAAGGGCAGAGGGTGGGGTGGGAACCTGGTGGAGGGGAGGAATTGTGGGGGAGGAGGGGGAAGAGAAACATTTGTAATAATCTGAACAATAAAGATTAAAAAAAAAAAAAAGAAAGAAAAAGAAACATCAGTGGGAGAGAAACATGGATGGGCTGCCTCCTGCACGCCCCCTACTGGGGATCAAGCCCACAACCAGGGCATGTGCCCTGAGGGGGGATTGAACCAGAGACCTCTTGGTTTATAGGTCTATGCTCAACCACTGTGCCACACTGGCCAAGCATACACCCTCTACCCTCTATATATATATATATGTTATTGATTTTATACAGAGAGGAAGGGAGAGAGATAGTTAGAAACATCGATGAGAGAGAGTCATTGGTCAGCTGCCTCTTGCACATCCCCTACTGGGGATATGCCCGCAACCAAGGTACATGCCCTTGACCGGAATCGAACCCGGGACCTTTCAGTCCCCAAGCTGACGTTCTATCCATTGAACCAAACCGGTTTCGGCAACCCTCTACCGTCTTGACAAAACCTTTCCTGATCCTCTGGCTTCTCCCTTAAAAAATATACATTGTAAAGGGAGGAGGGCAATAAGGACACATATGTAATACTTTAATCAATAAAAAAAAACAAAAAACCTTTTTTGTATTTTTTGTTACCTCTTAAATTTTTTTTTTATATTTAATGAAAGAACCATTTTAGACTTTAGACATAGGGTATTTTAAAATTTATTTATTGTGATAAAACATACATAACATAAAAAATGTCATTTTATGCCAAAACTGGTTTGGCTCAGGGGATAGAGCATCAGCCTGCGGACTGAAGGGTTCCAGGTTCGATTCCAGTCAAGGGCATGTACCTTGATTGTGGGCACATCCCCAGTGTGGGGTGTACAGGAGGCAGCTGATCGATGTTTCTCTCTCATCGATGTTTCTAACTCTCTATCCCTCTTCCTTCCTCTCTGTAAAAAGTCAATAAAATATATATATTTTTTAAATGTCATTTTAACCATTTTTAAGTGTACAATTAGTGGCATTAATTGCATACCCAATATTGTGCAACCATCCCCACTGTCCATTTGCAAAACTTTCCCATCACCCCAAACAGAAACTCTGTACCAATTAACTCTCCATTCCCCCCACCCACCCAGGGCCTAGGAACCTCTCACTTACTTTCCATCTCTGAACTTGACTATTCTGGATATTTCATTTAAGTAGAAACATACAGTGTTTGTTCTTTTGTGCCTGACTTATTTAATACTATATAATGATTTCAAGATTCATCCATGTTGTAGCATCCATGTTGTATCAGAATTTTGTTCTTTTTTATGGCTGAATAATATTCTATTGTATGAGTAAATACACTTTGTTTATCCATTCATTTGATTGACACTTGGGCTGTTTCCACTTTTTGTCTATTATGAATAATGCTGCAGTAAACATCGGCATACAAGATCTGCTTGAGTCCCCGTTTCCATTCTTTTGGGTAAACACTTAGGAGCAGAATTGCTGGGTCACGTGGTCATGTTATGGGTAACTCTTTCTGAGGAACCGCCAGGCTGTTTTCACAGAAACTGCGCCATATTACTCTCCCACCGGCAATGCACAAGTGTTCTAGTGTCTCCACCACCTTGCCAACCCTTGTTAGTTTCCTTTTTTTAAATTTTTTTTTTATTATAGCCATCCTAGGAGAACGCCCCTTTTTATTTTTAAGTCATTTTTTAAAACCAAAGGTACGAGTGAACATAGCTAAAAGCAGCACCTCCACAGCTGGGTGCTGGTCTGTATGCCAGGATTCCTCCATGATGAGAAGGATCTAGAACCTCTGACAGCAGCTCCGCACGCGGTGACGCCCCAGGCATAGTCATGCTTCTAGTCATTCACTCGTGTTGTCCTTCACAAAGGCGTGAGACATGCTGGGCCCCTGGACCGATGTTTTGTTTCTCTCTCTCCTCCCTCTCCCTTATCCAGTATCTCTTTGCCTTCTTTCTCTATTTCCTGGAAGATTTTTTTTCAATTTTCCCTTCCTACCCTTCACTGAATTTTTTCATTTCTATGATTTTCAATCTCCAAAGTTTTTTGTTTGTTTTTTGCTTAAAGCTGCTTTCCTCTTAAAACATCCTGTTCTTTTTTTTTTTTTTAATATATTTTATTGATTTTTTACAGAGAGGAAGAGAGAGGGATAGAGAGTTAGAAACATCAATGAGAGAGAAACATCGATCATCTGCCTCTTGCACAGCCCCTACTGGGGATGTGCCCGCAACAACGTTACATGCCCTCGACCGGAATCGAACCTGGGACCTTTCAGTCCATGGGCCACGCTCTATCCATTGAGCCAAACCAGTTTCGGCAAAACATCCTGTTCTTATTTTAGTGCTGCAACCCTTCCTCTCAGCTGTCCGAGGGCATTACTGAGACGGGGAGTAGAAAGTTTACTCCGCCCTCTGTAGGCGCTGTGTCCTTCAGCTTGCTTTTTTTCCTGTTTATTAGCCTTGGTTATTCGTTCCTGGTGAAGGCAGGAGGGCTAGAGAGTTCACCGGTGTCCCTGAGACCATGGGAGGGGTTGGTAACTGTGTGTGGGGGTGGGGAGGGGGCCACAGCAGCTGGTCCAGCTGGGCTGACTCTCTGGGCTCTGCGTTGACCTCCTCGGCCTCTTCCTCTCGGGTGGATCGGTCCCTGGAGGCTCTTCTGCTCTCTCCCCCGGAGGGAGAGGAGACTGCACATTCGCTGTGTAAACGGCACCCTGATTGCTTGTTCTCTGATGTGCTGGTGCCCAAAGACCCTCTCCCCAGACTTGCCCTCGGCTCCTGCGGGGCTGGGGAGAAGCTGGGCTGGGGTCGGGAGTGCTAAGTCCTCCTAAAGGAATGCCCCGTAGTCCTGTTTCCAACCACCGTGAGGACCGCGCCCACCCCAGGTCCCTCGGGTGGGTCCTCTGCCCATGGAGTCAGGTACCGCTCGTTTCTCCCAAGTGTATGCTCTTGTGGCCTCTCCTGTTCTCGTGGTCCTTGTGGCCTTCTGAAAACTCCGTTACTGCTTCTGAAAGGACATAGAATACCTGTATGTGTTCAGGCTGCCACCTTCATCTGAAAGCCCAGCAAACATCTGGAGTCCTTCCTGTGAGCAAGGTTGACGCTGGCAGGTGACCAGGAGTCCGGAGGCGACGGCTCCAGGCTCAGTGAGAGGGGAAGCTCCCCGTCCCCCCAGGGCTGGGCTTCCTGGGTCTGCTCTGTACCCCACGCAGTCTGTCGTCGGGCAGATCCACTGCAGGATGTCTGGCTGGCTGTCGCCCCGTGCTGTATGCAGCCTGCCTCTCCACCCTCTTCTCTAGCACTGGCTGTGTGACCTTTGTGCATGGAGGAGCAGAGCAGAATGTCTTACCCACTCACCTGGGTTCAAATCCCAGCGCTGCCACTTTCTAGATGGCTGAGCAGCTTGGCAAAGTTATTTGGCTCCTATTTTACTTCATTTTCCTCATCTTTAAAAATTAATAGGGGTATCTGCCTCTCAGAACTTTATAAGAATTCAATGATGGCACATAGAACAATGTCTGGTATGGAAGCTCTGCTTCAGTGGTAAGAGATATGATGGTGGTGGTGATGGTGGTGGTGACGGTGATGGTGGTGATTGTGGTGATAGTAATGGTGTTGGTGATAGTGATGGTGGTAGTGGCGGCAGTGATGGTGGTAGTGGTGATGGTGGTAGTGGTGATGGTGGTAGTAGTGATAGTAATGGTAGTGATGGTGATGGTGGTGGTGGTGGTGGTTGTGATGGTGGTGATGGAGGTGATGGTGGCAGTGGTGATAGTAATGGTGGTGGTGGTGGCCGTGGTGATAGTAATGGTGGTGATGGTGGTGATGATGGTGGTGGTGGTGGTGGTGGTGGTGATGATGATGGTGGTGGTGGTGGTGGTGGTGATGATGGTGATGATGATGGTGGTGGTGGTGGCAATGGTGGTGGTGGTGGCAATGGTGGTGGTGGTGGTGGTGGTGGTGATGGTGGTGGTGGTGGTTGTGATGGTGGTGATGGAGGTGATGGTGGCAGTGGTGATAGGTGATAGTAATGGTGGTGGTGGTGGCAGTGGTGATAGTAATGGTGGTGGTGGTGATGGTGATGGTGATGGTGATGGTGGTGATGGTGGTGGTGATGGTGATGGTGGTGATGATGGTGGTGGTGGTGGTGATGATGGTGATGATGATGGTGGTGGTGGTGGCAATGGTGGTGGTGGTGGCAATGGTGGTGGTGGTGGTGGTGGTGGTGATGGTGGTGGTGGTGGTTGTGATGGTGGTGATGGAGGTGATGGTGGCAGTGGTGATAGGTGATAGTAATGGTGGTAGTGGTGGCAGTGGTGATAGTAATGGTGGTAGTGGTGGCAGTGGTGATAGTAATGGTGGTGATGGTGATGGTAATAAGCTCACAGGCTCCCTTAGGCTAAGAGCTATGTTCCACTTGCCGCTGGGATCCCTGTAACAGGGCTGAGCCACGGCCTTGCACCCACGGGCACTAAACACACAGGGGGTTGAGCTACACTGAATGGCGATGTCCTTCGTCAGCCAAAAACTCAACTGAGTTTGCAGGAAAGGGACTCAGGAGCACCTGCTCTCCGGGAAAGTGGCATCTGGCGTCTCCAACATCACGGGAACCGGGGAGCCCTGCTCCCTCCTGGGAAACTGCCCTGGGCCCGCCCTGGGGACACAGAGCGTGCCCGAGGGAGCCTGCCCCACACAGATGGCTCTGCTGGACAACCCCAGGCAGCACTGTACTCACTCCCCACGGCCGATGAGACGAAGTGCCAGGAACCAGGAGGCTTAAAACACCCAGAATGGACTGTCACTCGGTTCTGGAGGCCAGAAGCCCACAGTGAAGCTGTCAGCAGGGCCGTGCTCCCCCTGAAACCTGGGGGCCTTTCCTCACTTCGCCCCAGCTTCTGGCGGTGTGCTGGCGAGCTCAGGGTTTCTTGGCTCACAGATGGGTCACTCCGCTCCCCGCCTGGTCACATGGCCGCCTCCAACTGGATCTCCACCTCCATGCGAGTGCCTTTATATAAAGACACATTGCATTAGGACCGTGGTTGGCAAACTGCGGCTTGTGAGCCACATGTGGCTCTTTGGCCACTTAAGTGTGGCTCTTCCACAAAATACCACGGCCTGGGCGAGTCTCTTTTGAAGAAGTGACGTTAGACGTTTAAGTTTAAAAACTTTGGCTCTTCAAAGAAATTTCAATCATTGTACTGTTGATATTTGACTCTGTTGACTAATGAGTTTGCCGACCCCTGGATAAGGAGATCACCGTACCCCTGTATGCCCACATCTTAACGAATACCTGCAATGCCCATACTTCCAAATAAAGTCATCTCTTTGAGGGGATACAATTCAAGCCATAAACAAATGCCTAACGCAGCAATCCTCCCTTCAGTGCAATGGCCTGTGTTGGGGTGCAGTTCATTGATGTTTATGCATGTGTATGACTTCGCCTAATGTTAGAGGAACAACTGAAAACAAGCTGGCTTCCAAGCCCGACAAATCTCCCATCGCCCCCACCCCCTCAGCCCCGAGAGCCGCACAGCGGACGTCTGAGTGTCAGGCCCACAGCCTGGCGAGCATCATCATGACGGTTCAAAACTATCCAATGTAGAGTTTGGTAATGTTTAAGTTTTTAAGCGGCTTTGCTGAATGCATGTGTGGTTTTGGATCAGGAAGCTGTGGGTGTATGCATAACCAAGGAGCTTTCAACATTAAAAATTCAGAATTGGTGAGCACTGGCGCATCCACGGCCTGAGATCTGCAGGATCACTCTGTCCCGGTCCCGTGCCTCCCGTCCCCTTTCCCCACCCCCACCCCCAAAGGCCAGATACATCCCCCTCTCAGATCACCTCCAGTCTTTCCAGAACCCAGGCCAGAGCGCTGGGTCACCCTTCCCAGCCTCTCTCCTGAGGCGGGAGTGGAAGGGAAGGTTAACATGCACAGGGAGAGAAGATCTGATCGTAAGTTCCGACTGGCTATCCATTTCTAAAGCCAACTGCTGGTCTAAGGATAGTTTTGGAGACCTGGGCTCCACTCCCAACGTGGGACGTGGGAAGCTCTCCGTTTCACTTAGCCCCTCTGTGCTGGAGGCGGCGGGTCGTCTGCGGAGCCTGAGGAGGAGAGTGACCTGTGCCCAGAGCTCGGTTTGTTTCTGTGGAATCCGCCTCACCGCGCCCAGTGAGAGCTTTCACTGGGCCCCGTGGAAAACCCTCCTGTGTGAGCCACCAACACGTGACCTTGGGCCACACGCGTGGCCTCTCTGAGCCTCGGTGTCCTCCTCTATGAACCAGACATGACACTCCCCAACCCCCTGCGAGGGCAGATGGGAGGGTCCAATGCAACAGCTGATGGGGAAGCCTGCAGCGATGTGTCCAGCACGCCGTGGGTGTCTGACAGGTGCTCAGCTCGTGGTGAAAAAGGGGCGCAGGTCCCCTACGTGTTCAACGTGGTCAAGAAGTCTCCTGTCTTTTCCCCACATGTGCCTGGCTAAGCAGAGGCTACTAAACCCCTGGCCCCCAAAGTGGCAGAGCCCTCATCCATCATGGGTGCTGCCAGTGACCATGGCCTGGGCCCATTACATGGACTCCAGTTTGGGGTGGGGAGAGGACTCAGGGTTCGCAGACCAGCAGTCAAAGGATTTCAACTGAGTCCCCCCTTCCGGACTGCAGGAGGCCACGTGCAGGGAGGAGGGGAGAGGCGACACGGGCACACAGCCCTCACCCAGCCCCTGCCTGTGGAGCCCTCAGAGGCAGAAACTACCATCCAGTTTGGCCGATGAGGAAGCGGAGGCTCACACGAGGTCAAAAGCCCCATCACCCGGGGCTTGGGTTTACCTGACTCCAGACCCACCCGGCTGCCTCAGCCCCAGGCCTGTGACTGTTCCAGGGCAGGGGTGTTCCCAGGGCCAGCACCGTGTCTGGACGAGGTAGGCACCCCACCAGCGTCTGTGCAAGGGGAGGCCGAGTGAACAGTGTGGGAGAGCAGTGCCCTGAAGGCTGGCCCTGGGCCCACGCGCAGCGTCCTGGAGAGCACCCAGCCTGGCTCCCCTCTCTGACAGGAGATGGGGCACCCGGGGAACACCCAGGAGACTCTCGGAGGACTGGCAGAGGGAGGCCCCCACAGGGACTCAGACTGCAGATCCTAAAACCCCTGTGGGACAGTCCAGAGGCCCCAGAGGCTGAGCCCCCAAGGACCACAGGCCTCACGGTGGGGCTGGGGCTGGTGCTGGGTGGAGCCGCTGGAGGAGGCAGCGCCAGGGGGAGCGTGAGATGCGGAGACGGGCCAGGGAGGGAGCCAGACCCGGGACATGGCGACAAGGCTGGGCTGAAGGTAAAGCACCAAGCGGGGAGTGGGCTCCCCTGGGGCTGGAAGACCCCGTGTCTGAAGAGAGATGCCGGGCTCTTTGCTGCCTCTCTGACAGGTGGTTGGCCAGCCACAGCAGGGGGAGGAAGCAGAGGGCAGCCCAGGCAGGGAAGGCGACCACACCACCCTGAAGTGACCTTACCCACTGGGGACCAGAGCTAACTTGGGACAGACCCTGCAGAAACCCTAAAATGAATGCATGAAGAAATACAGGCAAGAGGAGCGAGCAACGTGAGGAAATACAGTAGGCTGGAGGGGGGAGAGAGGGGGAGGGTCACGGGCTCAGCCAGCTATGCTGCGTACCTGGAGGCTATTTCAGAGCGAGGGGTTTGCCTGCCTCCATCCCCCTCAGCTCTCCTCAGCCTGCCACCCTCAAGTCCAACATCTTTACCTCCTTCGTCCCAAATCACCACCCGGGCACCAGCCTTCCCCTCCGGAGTCCGCGTCCCCTGCTCACCAGCCTTCGGGCCAAACACGGACATGCAGATCCCCACCTTCCCCTCCTCCACCAGGCACCTGCCCTGCCAGGTGCCGCCAATGGTCCGCCCCACCCCCAGCCCCACTGTCCTCCTGACCTGGCCCTGGTCTAGCCCCCAACCCCACCCCCGAGACACCACTGCTTTTCCGAGAACAAACCCACTGTCTCATTCCATGCTTTAATCTCTCTGTGGCTCCTTCAGACCAAGTTCAAACTCTTGGGCTCGGTCCTCAGACTCATCCCCTCACTCTCCCCTGCCCCCCCCCCCATTCCTGGTGTTCATGAGCCCAGTTCCCCACGGGGGACAGGTGGCTCCGGCCACGTGGCCCCTGACCGTGTCACTCCTGCCGCCTGGCAGCCCTTCCTCCCCTCCCGGTGTGAGGGCTCACTCACCCAGCACGCTCTCCTTTCTCCACTCGCCCTCCCTAAGGAGGGAGCCTGTGAGCCAGACCCTGGGCCTCCCCCGGGGACACGGCCCAGGCGCTCGGCCCCGGAACCGGGGTGGCAGGAGTATGAGAAGCCTCTGTCCTGCCGGCTCCAGCGGCTCCTCCGCACACACCACCAGTGGCCAGCACAAGTTTTCTAGAACTCATGACCATGGAACCCTTTCTCCGCTTCGCTCACTGCCCGCTGGCCAGCCAGGGGTGCTCACCTCTCCCTCCCCACGGGGCCCGTCCCCACCAGGTGCCCCCCCTCTCACTGGACACTTTGGGGTCACCAGCGTTCCTCCCTTTGCCCAAAGCATTCCCACGGCCACCGACAGTCCGTGCCCATCAGGTGAGGACCAGACAGACACTCCTGAGCAAACAGGCTGGGCTCCAAGGTCAAAAAGTGAGCGAGCCGCGGAGACAGGGTCAAGGCTGTCACGATGGGGGAATCCCCAGTGACACCCCTCTCCCCGCAATGTGTCCCCTAACTGTCCCAAGCCAATCCTCGGGATTCCAGACTCCCACCCCCTCCCGGGACCCCAGCCAAGGTGACTCCTACCCGCCTCCCCGGCTCCGGCCCCGGGTCAGGGCACCAGGCCGCCGCACCTTACCCTCCAAGGCCGCCTTCCAGCTGGTGCTGCCCTCGTAGCCGGAGCCGGAGCGCCGCAGCAGCCCCTCGGGGCCGCGGGCCTCCGCCTCCCCCGGCGAGCGCGGCCGGGGCGCGGCGGGCGCGGGCGCGGGGCGGGCGGCGGGGGGCGGCGGCCGGGCGCGCGCGGGGGGCTCCCGGGCCGGCTCCATGCCCGGCGCTCCGCCCCGCCGCGCCCGCGCTCCGGCGCCCGGGTGCGGGGCCCGGCCCCACGCGCACTCGGCGCCGCGCGGGCCCTGCGGACCCCCCAGGCCGCCCCCGCGGAGCCCCCAGGCGGCCTCGGCGGGCGAGGGCCGCGGCTCGTGCGCACAGGGCTGCCCGGCTCCCCGCGCCGCCGCTGCGCCCGCTGCTGCCGCCGAGCTGCCCCGCCGCAGCCTCCGCACCGCGCACCGCGCACCCGGCGGGGAGGGCGGGGAGGAGCCGGGCGGGCGCGGGGGGCGGGGAGGCGAGGCGCAGGGACACCCCCACCGGGAAGCTCTCCTTTCCCCACGCCCTGCGGGGAGGCCGGGTGCTGCGAAATGAGAAACGAGGATGCTAAACCCAGGACACCTGGCTTCTAAGCCAGCCCCCCTCCCCCCTCCAGCCTCCTTCCTGTGGGGCTCAGTTAAAAAGGGTCAAAAGAAGGGCAGAGGATGGGGTGGGAACCTGGTGGAGGGGAGCAATGGGGGAGATGAGGAACATTAATAAATAATATGAACAATAAAGATTTATTTTTAAAATATATAAAAATAATAAATAACAAATAAATAATAAATAAATAATAAATAAAAAGGGTAAAAAGTTGCTGAAACTGGATAGAGTGGATAGAATGTCGGCCTGCGGACTGAAGGGTCCCAGGTTCCATCCTAGTCAAGGGCACATGCCCGGGTTGCGGGCTCCATCCCCAGCAGGGGGCGTGCAGGAGGCAGCTGATCAATGGTTCTCTCTCATCATGGATGTTTCTATCGCTCTCTTCCTCTCTGAAATTAATAAAAATATTTTTTTAAATAAATAAATTAGCTGACGACAGCCCCAGTTTAGGTTGAGAACTGGAATTAAAGAGGCCAGTTCTGAAGGCCGCACCATCAAGTGTGTGGATGGCAGTTCTCCCACCCCAGCCCAGGGCTCCTTCCCCACCCACACACTTTCCGCATCTCCCCCCCTTTCCCCCCCCTCGCAGCCTCACTTCCGCTGCCCGCCTCCAGCGCTGAACTTCTCACCTGTTCCTAACTCCTCTGTGGTTCCTGATCCTCAGCTCCCCTGCTCTCTCCCCCCACATCCAACCACCCGTCAACAATGAGGAATTCTCCCTTTGAAAGTCTGGGCCGGCCCATTTCTTTCTGCTCCTACAGCCACTGGCCGCGTGCAAACCAATTCCACCTCTTATCTGCTGCTCCACAGCAGCAGCCTCATGAGGTGTCTCAGCTCTTCTTCCCTCAAAGCCAGCCCCTCTGTCTGGGACCGAGGGAGCTTCCTAACCTCACCCGGCTCCCCCTGCCCGTGGATACCAGCTGCCAAGTTTCTCAGGGTCCGAGTCCTGCTCACATGTCAGGCTCTGTCTCCTCACCCCCCCCCCTTCTCATCCCCGGAAGCCCCTGGAATCCCCATGTGCCTATCTAACCTCTGCTAAAGCTGCAGATTGCACATCCTAGGACACTGCATTCACTCAGATTAGGTTCAGCTGACAATAGAGAAAAACCCAATAACAGCGGCTAATGTAGCCGAGACCGGTTTGGCTCAATGGATAGAGCGTCAGCTTGGGGACTGAAGGGTCCCAGGTTCGATTCCGGTCAAGGGCATGTGCCTTGGTTGCGGCCATATCCCCAGTGGGGGGTGTGCAAGAGGCAGCTGATCAATGACTCTCTCTCATTGATGTTTCTAACTCTCTATCTCTCTCCATTCCTCTCTGTACAAAATCAATAAAATATATTAAAAAAAAAAAAAAAAAAAAAAAAAACAGCGGCTAACGTAGAAAGAGTTTACTTTTTCTCTCATAAAAGGAGTCTGGCCTTGGCTGGTTTGGCTCAGTGGGTGGGAACATCGGCCTGCAGACTGAAGGGTCCTGGGTTTAATTCCTGTCAGGGCACATGCCTGGGTTGCAGGCTCAATCCCCAGTGAGGGGCGTGGAGGAGGCAGCTGATCAATGATTCTCATCAGTGATGTTTCTCTCTCTCCCTCCCTCTCCCTTCCTCTCTGAAATCAATTAAAAAAAAAAAAAAGTCTGGAGGTGGTCAGTTCAGGACTGAATTGAGAGCTCCGAGGTTTTCAGAGTCCCAGGCTCCTTCTCTCTTTCTGCTCATCACCCTTCCCGTGTACATCCATCTTCCAGATTCCCTCACAGTCACAACAGGGCCACTGCGGTTCAAGCCATCACACCTGGCACCAAATCGCAGGAAGCAGGAAGGACGACAGGGCTCCTTTAGAGAGCTTTTCTGGAAGCCCAGTGACTTCCTCTCATGGCTCACTGACCGCTTCCATCTGCCCGGAGGTCTGGGAGGGGGTGGTGTTACGGGAGAGTCACTGCCACGCCCCAAACGCAGGCGATCTGTTAAGCAAGAAGGGGAGACAGGATTCCATGCTCAACCAGCAGCTTCAACACCAAAAGCTTTCTGTGACTCAAGCCTGTGTCTGGCACCTCTCCTTCGGGTTCCCAGGACACCCTCTCCCTTTCGGACCATTGCCCGGCCTCACCCTGTGGTCACCGCTCATCTCCCAGCCAGACGGTAGTCAGCTGCGTGGGGGCAGGCCTGGCTCTGTCCCCTGCTTCAGCCCACTGCCTGGCGGGAGCACAAGATCTAAAGCTTCAGGTGTGGTCACAGAGACACACAGAAACACCAAGGGCGTTGGAGCAGGGACACATCCTGGTCGTCACATGCTTCAGAAACAGCAACGGTGGTATCCGGTGCGAGGACAGTGAGAAGCTCCTGCAATGACCATCCTTGCGGCAGCATGTGTCAGTCCTCCATCCCTGTTCACCTCAGTCCATTGTGAGGGTTCCTGCCCTTCCCAGGTTGCATGAGAACCCCCAAGGCTTAAGAGAGAAGTTATGCCTGCCCAATACAGCTTGGTGGATAGAGTGTCGGCCTGCGGACGGAAGGGTCCTGGGTTCAATTCCTGGTCAGGGCACGTGCCCGGGTTGCAGGATCGATCCCCGGTGAGGGGCTTACAGGAGGCAGCCAATTCATGATTCTCTCTCATCATTGATGTTTCTATTTCTCTCTCGCTCTCCCTTTCTCTCTGAATTCAATAAAAATATATTGAGAGAGAGAGAGAGAGAAAGCCCTAACTGTTTTTGGCTCAGTGAATAGAGCATCAGCCTGTGGAATGAAGGATCCCAGGTTCGATTCCAGTCAAGGGCATGTACCTTGGTGCCGGCACATCCTCAATAGGGGGTGTGCAGGAGGCAGCTGATCAATGTTTCTCTCTCATTGGTGTTTCTATCTCTCTCTTCTACTCTGTAAGAAATGCAATAAAATTTTAAAATTAATTAAAATAATAAATTAAAAAAGAGAGAGAGAGAGAGAGAAGTCCCAGATGACACCTATTGTCAAATCAGCATATCCCTCAGAGCCCACAGGTCCTGCCTTTCATGGGATATGGGGTTTGGATGGTGCTGAGATTCTGGGGCCAGAGTCCTGCCCCCTGGCCGCGCTGTCCTGTGGCCTCCTCCAGGGCTACCATGGGTGGTGGTGGGCCCTACTGCCCGGGGGAGCCCCCAACCTCTCAGGCCTTCCCAGGCAGGGGCCCCCCGTCACATCCCCACATCCCCAAGGCTCTCTCCCACCCCCTCCCTCTGCAGGATGCCCTCTCTCTCCCCTTTCCCTTCCTCTCTGAAATCAATAAAAATATATTTTTAAAGAAAAGAAAAGCCAGTCCTGGCCCAGAGACTGGCTTCTGGAGGAGAACGGCATCTCGGTAATGGCCCTGCCAAAACCGCGGTGTCCGCATTAGCCCTCTCCCTGGAGGGCAGCGGGACAGCAAGGGACAGAACACAGCTCCACCCGAAGGAAAAACCCCAAGTCGACAAACATAAACACGGTGTTCTTATTACAACACTAGCACAGAGGCTGTTTTCATGCAAACAATAGGTACATTTTTAAGCCAACTTTTCTTTAGAGTTTGGTATATTATTACTAGCATGTGCTTCTAAGCACTTTTTAAGTATACTGAAATACTTGTTTTTTAAACAAAAGTGGAGTTAATACAGTGAATGTTGTAAGAATAAGCACTGTTTCCTGTAGAACTGAAACTATTTCCATTTTGAATGGAATAAAAATACAGCCTAGCCAAAACTGGTTTGGCTCAGTGGATAGAGCATCCACCTGCGGACTGAAGGGTACCAGGTTTGATTCTGGTCAAAGGCGTGTACCTTGGTTGCAGGCACATCCCCAGTGGGGGATGTGCAGGAGGCAGCTGATCGATGTTTCTCTTTCATCGATATTTCTAACTCTATTCCTCTCCCTTCCTCTCTGTGAAAAATCAATTATATATATATATATATATATATATATATATATATATATATATATATATACAGCCTTTTTTTTTTTTTTAACATCCGTATATTCGTTGGTTTGGCTTTGGAACTTGTGAAAGGATCAAGTTCCTCTGGAGCCCGCCCTCCCCGCATTCGTGCTGTGGATCGCCCACAGGAGGCGCAGGTGGCCCAGGAGCCTCCACCTGAGTCCCGGGCAGAGGACCTGCACCTGAGCCGGCACATCGCGGGGCGGGGGCGTTGCCCTCAGCCTGAGGACTGATCTTGTTGCAGAAAATCCGCTGGCGATGCCCTGTTGGTGCCTCTGAGGCTCACCCGCACGCAGAGGCTTAGACGGGCCGTGGCGGGCAGGCCTGGGGAGCAACGCCCCGAGCTCCCAGCACACGGGGAGACTCTGAACTGCCCTCGGGTCCTGCGGCGCCACCTGGGCCTGGAGCCCGGGGTCTGTGCCTCCGAGGCCCGACCCCCAGCGGGTGTCCTCGTCCCCTCCCAAAAAGTCCAAAAAATTTAAAAGATTCTTTCCAAAAATCGGGACTTTTTTAAAACGTGACGCGGGACAAATTGTTAAGAATCGGGACTGTCCCGCCAAAACCGGGACGCCTGGTCACCTTACCCAAGGATCAAGTCCCGGCCCGGCAGGTTCCCCCTCCCGCGGCACTGGCTTCGGGGAGGGGATCG